TTAGGATAGAATAATATATCTAATATTTTAATATTAATGTATTCACCATAATATGTATAAGTAGAGTCTGATAAGGAAAATAACTTGTAGGTGTAGAGCCTGAAAAAGTGCCTTAGGATTTATAGGATCCCACAGATATGAAAATTATACACCAGACACCAGAACAATATCATACCGTATTAGAATTTGCTACAGAGATATGTTATTAAATAATAATAAGAAGACAAGTAAATAAATATTGATCAATTATTAAAGATGCCTAAAACTGTCAATCAATAAAACAAGTACTGTATTTTTATTTTTCTACTTGCTATATTAAAATTCCTTAGTATTTTTAGTTGATTCCTCGTATACGGCCAGCGTTCTGACTGATAAAACCGGTAAACGTACAAATTTTTTGTCACCTCGAAGGGTCACGGACCGCCTTTGAAGTCAAAATAACAATAGAATTCCTTAAAGTGAGCCAACTGTATATAAATATTCTTTAAACTGTGGTAAAACCTTTAGAACGTAAAACCCAAAAAAAGTCCTTAGAAATACAGTTATAGATGTCAATGAGAATAAAACTTCAATTTGAAGTTAAAAAAGTAACAAATACTGTGGCGTAGCAAGAAATTTCTTGCTTGGTTTATGATTTTTTTTACCTGATTGATGAGTCACTAGAAAAAAATATGTTTACAGAATTGCACTGCTGGTCTGTTTAAATGAAGGTCAAACGTTGACCATTTACATATCTAATAGAGGGCGCTGATTAAAAAAAATCGAAAAGAAGGTATAAAATATTTAATTAATTCAGTATCATAGTTAATGTATACCGATTTGCTAATTTTAGAAGGTCTAGATTTTAACGTGTAAGACAGTGATGTAGGCAGCTTAATGGAAAATCAAATGTATTAAAAAGAGATACAAGTTGGGTTGATACATTTCTTCTATGCGGTATTGCCGGATTTTGCATCAAAAGTTCAAACCGCACAAGTAGGTACCTATTTATGGAAAATGTTGCATCTAGGGTTGGAACCTTATTTTTCGCAATTAGTTACTCATTTTACTATAAATGTAACAGATTATATTATTTAGCTTAGATATTATCTTTATTTCAGTACAGTACGTCTGTCCCTTCTGTAGCTACGGAGTATCCGTGAGAGGGGAAACGATATTCTCTCGATGTTTTTCGCAAAAAATTAGACGACGCGTCCCATCAATAAAAATTCGACAAATTTGCAAGTAGCCAATAAAATTAGTGGGCGGAGCGATTTGCGGTGACGTACTAGTCAAGTCGACGTATAAAATATATTGCTGTTTATTTAAATGTTTTTTGTCCGCATTCCTTTCATAGACACAGATCCAGCAGACGTACTATAGTATACATGAAAGTTTTTAAAATTGTTTTTTTTTCTACACATTTTCCTACAAACGTAAAAAACCGGCAACACTGTATGCCGCTGATTTTGTCTCTGTCTATAAAATGGTTATTTATATTATTCTCTGTCTTACATGTTAAAATCCAGACCACACTTCTAAAATGACCAAATCGGTATATGTAGAATTGTTTGATGATATCTAAGAATAATTCATCACTTTTGTCTATATTAAGTTAAACATATTAAATAATTATTGAATATTAGATATTTTTTTGGGTTTAAGCTTTCTTTAAACTGTGTATAAGGGTGAAGATACAAGGTCTTTGTAGCGTCTGAATTAACTTTGAAAATGTTTCTATTACAAAGATATTAAATTATCTATTGTCTTTATTAAATCATTTCTATTAAGAGGTTTTCATTGAACTCGAAACATTATATCCAATGTAGACCGTCATACTCTATTGCACGCTTCTCGCTTAATTGATTCTCATGGTCAAATTTGTTTTAATTCCTCGGGTCACCGTCGATTGACATCTCCGACGACTAAATTATTTTAACACGAAACTGGCGTTATTGGTGTTATTTTCTTAACAATAAATAACAAGGATATTTCTTGTGCATAATCAATTTTCTTAGAAAATTTAACTAAGGTAAATGTGCAATAGTCACTTAAGTTATTAGATAAAAATGCAAAACTTGAAGTTATATTAACATGTTTATTTACTACAGAAAAATAAATGTAGTAAAAATCAAGTGGTTTCAAACCTTTGACCAGTATCACCGAGTTGTCTCTAATTTTCAATTTTAAGTTGATATTAAAGTAAATTTTATTATAAAAGTCATCTAAACTCTGTTTTATTAATCAGGTATTTCGACAGACGACAGAAAAAATGCAGACGACGTCCATACCAATCTACAGGGTTGTTCAGCACATACGACACGGATTATTGTAGCTAAACGATTAGATTTTTACAAATTGTAAGTTTTGGGTTCGTTGAAGGACTATTAGAGCTACAATTTAAAATTATTTTTACCATATACATAAAAAATAAAAAATATTAAAGTTGTATTTTTTAAATGGAAAACCCAGTATATTATTACATTTTTAGTTTCTACGATTAAAATAAAGGTAAATTTGATTAAGGTTTATTACCCTTAAACCTTACCGTTTTTGAAATATTTTCAATTTTGTGAAATTGCAGTAAACATTTTAAGGCTTCATTTATCGAATGGTATCAATGTTTTTAATGCTAAATATTTACTGAAGTTTATTTATTGATCAATTATTGTGTTGCAATAATAAAAATAATACTACCTCATACAGAGTGTCTAAAAATGTATTTTAAATAATTTCTAGCTTTAAACGGCAATAACTTGTTCAATTTAAATTTAAAACACCCTATATATTTTAGGAGAATCAAATGCACAATATAATTGTCTATCAAAATGTATTATACCATTTTTTACCTATCCCTTCAAGTTTTCGTCGAAAATTAATTTCCTTATAATTTAGACCTCATTTATCAATATACCCATGGAATATTGACATTTTAGATTATTTTTAGAACAAAAAATGTAAAAATGTATAGATGCTAAAAACGATAATATTACTAGCCCATTTCTATACAAAAAGAAAACTATTTAAATCTTTAAACAAAAAATCACCATTATTTATACCCAAATATTAATTAATTACATAAGTACTTATGTTAGTTAATATACCTACTTGTGTTATTTAATATACTTGTGTTAGTTTAATAAATTATTCTATGTAGATCACTTGCCACTCAAATTTTAAATATATTAATTTCCTGCAGTACGTTCCAATTGTACCAACTTTTTCTTTGTAAAATAAAATAAACTACTTTGAAATTAAAATGACAGAAGCACACTGTCAAGGATTTTGTCGTTAGGACAGGTTGGACAGACGTTTTGTACTGTTGAGAGCCATATAAAATATCAATAGACCAAAAAATCTGCGAAACCGTTAATAATTTCAAATCACTTTAAATACAAAAAATGGTGATTTTTCAAATCTGCTTAAAGAAAAAATTCTATACATTAGATCTGCAGTTCAACAAAATACATTTGATATTTATTATAGGACCCAGATATGCAGGACCCTGTATGTCTAATCTGAGGTTTTCAGATAAATTCAAAATTCTTGTCATGTAGAATTAAAAAAAAAGATATAGGTCAAAAATTTATAACACGCAAAGTCAAGCAAATTTGTTAAATAGTGCACAGCTATATCAACAATTTAAAGATATATGGGACCCTACTTATCGCATTAACTGTCAACAGTCGGGGGCAATAATATTTGCAAACTGATAACGCAACAAGACGATGGTTGGAGATTTCAAGGTTTGTCAACATCCTAAGCTAATAATTTAGTGCAGTACATAACATTTGCTGAACTATTTTTAAGATAAAACTGACACAAGAAGCAAAAATAGTATATTGTATTTTTTTCAGACAATGGAAGTCCGATAAACTCTTTTAGTTTTAATACTGCATCATGGTCTACCACATTCAAAGTGACTTTTTAGCCGACCATACCAACAGGTATGGTAGGCTATTAAGATCGGCAAAAAAAAAGTTATTTTAATTTCACTCAAAATTAGTGAGAAAATCCGTGTGGAGAACTCCAAACTCCCATCGGACGCGACCCCAGGTGGCGGATAGGGGAAATAATCGCGGACCAAAATTGGAAAAATTCCTTTACTTTGAAACTAAAAGAACTGCCTGCCAACTTTTTATTAACATATTTTAGTATGGGCGGCTATATGTGCCTCCCTGCGCCAATTTTTTTATATCTGCGATTATTTTTTATATTTTTATATTTAGTCAATCGCGTCGCAAAAATTAATACTTTTGTGATGTTTGGAAAAAAAATTAATTTGTCATATAAATAAGTTTGTTAAGTATGGTCACATAGGTAGTAGTAGTATAAAAGCTATTTTTAAAAACTGATGTTCAAAATACAAATGTTTAATGTCTCAAAAAATGTGCTTGTACAAAAATACTCAAAGTTTAGTGATCTATATCTCCAGTACTCGCCAACACATTGCCTCATATGGTAATTTTCTTTATTATAATAAATTATTTAGTAAGTATTTTTGTATTTGGTGAGTATCGTATTGGCAAGTAGGCTAGAAGACAAAAGTTAAAAAAATTAAATAAAAAATCCAAGTTCGTATTTAAAAAAAATAAGTTCATGGTATCTCAAAAACAGAATGTTGGACATTTAATCATAATGATAATCTTTTTTCTATCTATATATCTATAAAAGAAGAATGAAATTATTGGGCAAACCTACAGTAAGATTAGCCATGAAACATGGCTAAAATACGAATGTTTCATGGCTAATCTTACTGTAGGTTTGCCCAATAATTTCATTCTTTTTTATTATAGTCCCCACGATAACATCTTTTGTTTATATATCTATACATATTTCTATCAATATCTTCGGCAGCATTCAGATTCCTTTAACTGCCAAAATGTCATTTTACTGGACATAAAATTACCAAAATTTGATCTTCGTATCTCTTATAGTTTCCAAACCAAACACACTGTGGCGCTTTTTTTTCCTTCCGTCAGTTGGCAACCCTAAATATGACAGAACTAAATGGAACTTACCGTGGTTGGCAAAATAGTTCCTATAATACAACGCTCCCTGATCAACATTTTCTATAGGCCTAGGGAACCTCTGGTAAGGACACGTCGAATGCCTCCAGTGAGTCTCTCCAGGGGGAAACTCTAGAATAGCCACTCCGTAAGCCAGTGGAGGTCTATGAAGGGGTCTCCTGTGCTGAGGCGCGTTCTGAAGCCTGGACAAACTCACTATCCTTTCCTCCTCACCTCCGATTTCGTTTCGAAAAAACGGGCAGTTTTGTACTAGCTCGTTGGACTGGCCGTCTCCAGCATCGTCTTCGCTCTCACCTGCAATATCATAAAAAACTAACTAAATATTATTCTTTAAAGCGCAGTTAAAAATGATGTGTCAGGTCTATAATATTGCTATGCCACTGGGCAAACATCATAAAACAGAGAACTCTCAAAACTGCAGTTGGTTTACTAATAGGACATTGAAAGCTGAGATTGAAGAAATGGTATTGTCAGTGCGACAGTCTGGCAAATGAGCTTCTCTTTGTACTAACTTCAAGTTATTACACTTTTTGACAAGAAAACGGTTCTCTAACAGATTTAAATCTGAAAAGGTTTAGTTAGCCACTTCATATACGGTATACAGGGTGGCCCATCGAAAACGTTCCGCAAGGCATAACGACCAGGGTAATTTTTTTTTCAGAAAATTCAAAAACACGTCAATTTTGTTTGTGAGGGGGACAACTTTTGCCCCAAAAATTATTGCAAAATCTTCAACCCTCTAAGCGGGGATGTCATACCCGATTTTTTTCAAATGGGAAGGGGGGTCAAGAGGTACCGCAATGAGAAGGGCTTTCTATTCTCTATACTTTCCTGCTTCGTTTTTGAAGATCGGTCGAGTTGTTGGGAAAATATGAAGGATTGAAATTTGAAAAGTTTTTTAAATATTTATCAGAGTAAATGATAAGGATAAATTCGTTCGACCAATTTGCTGTTTTTTTATATTATTTCTAGATGTTGTTGCAATCGGGTTGCGCAGATATTCAATGAACGGCATCCTGACAAACACCTTTATGGCAAAATTGTTCGCCAGTTAGTAGCAAAATTTCGCGAAACTGGTTCCGTTATGAATAAAAAGAGGCAGAGGGAAAGTCCTGTAGTAAATAAAGCTATGGAGGTATTCGTATTGGGCCAAGTTGCCATGGACAGTATTCTGAGTACAAGAAAATTAGCCAATGAGACCGGCGGGAATCGTACAAGTTTCCAAAGGATATTAAAAAAACACAAGTTCCACCCGTACAAAATTCAGTTGGTACAAGAACTCAATGAAGACGATTTTGATCGTTGCTTGCAATTTTGTGAAGCTATAAGTGAACGAGTGGCGAGTGATAATAATTTCCTATTTAATGTGTGTTTTTCGGATGAGTGTACTTTCTTTTTGAACGGTGTAGTTAATCGGCACAACTGTCGGTACTGGGCTGAGGACAACCCCAGGGTTTTTCACGAGGTGCACACACAAAACCCTCAGAAATTGAACGTGTGGGCTGGTATTTTTGGAAATTCTATTGTAGGTCAGTTTAACGATATTGAGAAGAATTTCAACGTAAAAGTCACAGAACAGCTATCTAGCAACTACCGCACCTGATCGTTCAACGTTGTGGCAAGTGAAAAAATGCGTAAACATCTAGAAATAATAAGAAAAAACAGCAAATTGGTCGAATTAATTATCATTTACTCTGATAAATGCTTAAATTAACTTTTCAAATTTCAATCCTTCATATTTTCTCAATGACTCGACCGATTTTTAAAAACGAAGCGGGGAAATATAGAGAATAGAAAGCTCTTTTCATTGCGGCGCCACTTGACCCCCCTTTCCATTTGAAAAAAGTTGGGGGATGACACCCCCGCTTAGAGGGTTGAATATTTCGCAATCGTTTTTGGAGCAAAAGTTGTCCCCCTCACAAACAAAATTGACGTGTTTTTGGATTTTTTGAAAAAATAAATACCCTGGCCGTTATGTCTTGCGGAACGTTTTCGATGGGCCACCCTGTATAGATTATACCAAATAAACTTTTAGTCACGTGATTAAGCTTAACCAGCACAGCGTTGCCCACTTTTACATATTTTCTTTTAATCAAAATATTTTAAGAAACAAAAATAGATGATAAATACTTAAACAGTTATTATTTACATCAACAACACTCACCTTCTTAACAGCACTTAAAAGACATAAAGGGCCATTACTACCACTTTCCGGTTCAAAATATTCTAATAAAGTTGCGATGAGTTTTTCGCAACGGCTATTAAGCTATTCTGTACACTTCGCACTAAAAGAGGTTCTAAAAAGAACAATGTTCGACTGCAAGGTCTGCTAATAAACATTTTTAAGCTTAAAGTATCACATCATTATTTATTTAAACTAAAAACGCAAAACACAAAACTAAAGTGTCAAAACGAATGGCAATGTCAGGAAATAAATAGATATAAATGTGGACACTTAACGTTTTTTTACAGCAGGTCTACCACCTGAATCCCTAGTGGGAAATTTAAATTCCAGTTAATTAGAATATGTCCATGGTTGGCAACAATGAATTTAAAAATCGCGCTGTCGATTACGTAACTAAAAGTTTAATTGGTATCGCTTATATAGCATATCTATTTTATAATAAAAATATGACACCATTTCTTATCTGTCACAATTTTTTGTTGAATTTACCATCATCGACAGATGAAAATACAGTGTATGTCAAGAATTAAACAAGCTAACATTTCTTACCATCAGGTGTAGAAGACCTAATAAGTGTCGAAGCTGCACTGGCACCCGTGGTTGTGTTTCTCCTTTTGGCCAAAAGGTTCCTGCGCAATCGCACTGAATAATTCAAGTTCGTCGTCAACGACTGACAGTCGTAATGGGCGAAAGCTCTTCTCCTGGCTATTTCTTCCGCCTCTTGGGACAACAGGACGTTGGTGGAGGCAGTACTGACCGTACTATCATCCATAATTGAACGTTGAGACTTCACCATGCTGTTGTTGGTACTGGCGTTAGCGCTATTAATTCCTGTAACAAAATAAATTTGTCACTTAACAAACAATGTGTTTTTTTAGTTAGGTTGTAGGTTTGTAATTTGTAGTGTGCACAAAAAAAAATATTGTAGTTGTATTGTGCTCTTAATAATTATTAAGGTGTCTTATCGTGATTTTCTATTTCCCATTTAAATATCACAGAATTTTTTTATTAATTTTATTGCTTTCTAACAAAAATCAGGGTGTTGTTATAAACATCATAACATATTCTTGTAGGAAAATGGAACGATCTTTAAAAAAGGTCTGGTATGATTTTTCATTTATTAATCGACTCGCTTGAAAGTTCCTGAAATTTAGTTAATAAAAATTATTATCTAAAAAGCTATATTGTCCCTTGCGCACGGCAGCTTTTCATCTATAGAGGAAACCAAATTACACTGAAACTAAAAGTATTGGGCGCCACTCGAGATACAAAAAAAGTACAGTCGTTGATATACACAGTCGTAACTGATCATATTGAATATTGAATCAGGATGATTCAGAAGTAGTATTTTAAATCATATCTCAATTTTTTAAAATGGAATGAGGGTGGCTCATTATCATATTTGGAAACAGTATTTATTTACGAATAATTTGATACGCACACACTTCGGTAGTTCGAATCAAAATGCCCTTATGAATCGCATCTTACAATTTCAAATAAACCATATGCGAAAATGTCAAAAGTTGACAGGTGAAACGTCAATTTTCTATTCAGAGTGTAATTTTTTATGGAATAAAGTAAAAAATACTGAGGGTGTTATATAAAAATCAAAAGTTGTAGTCATTTCCGGTGAAACAGGAAGTGACCAACAACAATAATTGAATACGTCAATCAATCCTAATTTATGTCATATACTCCCGCAACAAATCTCGTTTTTTTATCGGAAAAAATAAAAAAGTTATAGGAGTGAGCCACTTTTGAGACGCACCCGGTATATGATTTGAAGTTGAACTTTCATCATCTTCATCATCAACTAGCCTGAAGTGTCCACTGCTGGACGTAGGCCTCCCTCAAATCTTTCCACTCTTCTCGGTCCTGTACCACTTGGATCCAGTTTCCCCTAAATCTCTTTAAGTAATCTGACCATCTTATCGGAGGTCTGCCTCTGTTTCTGAGAGCATCCTGTCTTGGCCGCCATTCTAGTATTAGCTTGGTCCATCTATCATCCGTTCTTCTGGCAATATGCCCAGCCCAGTTCCATTTGAGTTTTTTAAGCAGATATATAGCATCTGTTATTCGTGTACGCTGTTTTATAACTATACTGGGTATCTTGTCTCTTAGAGATACACCAATCATTGCTCGTTGGGCTACAAGGATTTTTTCTATGGACTTTTTGTCAGGGTGTAGTAAGTGTCTCTGCGCCATATGTAAGTACTGGCATAACGCACTGATGGAACACCTTCCTCTTTAAGCACATATTGGTAAATCTGATTTTAACACATATCTTAGTTTGCCGAATGCTGCTCATGTTAGTCCTATTTTTCTTTGTATCTCGTGCGTCTGGTTATCGTGACCAATTGTTATTTCGTGCCCCAGATATTTATATGAATATACTTGTTCTATATTTGCTCCGTCTTCCGAGACATTTCCACTAATAACAAGATTGGTCATTAGTTTGGTTTTTGAATAATTTATGCGTAGTCCAATTTGATCTGACGCCCGTTTAAGTGTTACTAGCATATTTTGTGCTTCGTGTATTTTGTCTGTAATCAGCACCAATTCATCAGCAAAAGCATTAATGCCCATTTCCTCCCAGTTTAGTCTTTTGAAAATATATTCTAATAGTGCTATGAACAATTTGGGGGAAATGGTATCGCCTTGCCGTACTCCTATTTTAATACGGAATTTATTTGTGTTTTCATGTAGCGATACAGATGCTGTTGCATGGTGGTATATATATTTTAAAAGGTTAGTATAACGAGTGTCTATACGACATTCGGCTAGGGCCTTGAATAATTTGACCTTCAATAACTTTCAAACGAGTCGATTAAATGAAAATTCATATCAGACCTTTTTTGAAGATCGTTTAAAGCATTATCTAGCCATGGGTGTTATAGAAAATATTTGTATGGTCGTCATAGGGTTGATAGTCCATCATGCATTTACTGTGATCAAGTTGGTGATGTTCAGCATGTGAACGATGGCAGGTCTTTAGGGAACAATTCCGCATGAAATCCGGTAGGAAGTTTGACTTTACCCACAATTATGATGTACTTAGTTAAAGGAGACTTCCCCTAGGAGATGCAAAACCTTGTCGTTGGTGGTGAAGCTCCTGGTCAGGTGCTGCTACGGACAGCCTCAATCTTGGGGCATCGGGGGGCACCCCATTGTATTTTACCCCTTACTTCTACATGCGGGGCTCTGTAGAAGTGGACCGACTGTCCCTAGCGACTCATGGGAACACTATGAGATCTGGTAATAATAGTAATAAAAACATCACCGGTGAAGCTGTGGGGAAACCCCCTAGCGACACTGGGAACAGTAACAATGAAAGTTCCAAGGGGCCAAACCCAAAGAGAACTACAGGAGAGGTGGCTGACACTTGCGTGAGATCCTCCGCAAGTGGCATACAAGCTACTACCTCCTCCAAGGGTCGGGAGCCTACCTCTAAACCCAACAGGCGACACAAGCTACCGTTTCGTCTATCCGGCCTGGGTCGTAGCTCCTCGATTGTGAAGGACACGGGTCTCCGTAGGAGGTCCTGGGACTGTATGATGAGTTATAACTCAAGAAAGGGGGACACAATAGATCTCTAAGGTCGCAGAGATTAACCCCCCTCCCACTTATTCTAATTCTAATTCTAGTTAAAGGAGAACAGAAATGGAAGCTAATATATCGAATAGAGAGGAGAGAGAGAGAGAGAATTCGAAGTATAATAAGTTGTAAAGAGAGGGAAGAGAGACAATGAGCATCATGAAGTAAATCTAGACACCCTTTGCACTGAAACAATGCGAGAGCGGATTCCAGTGTAAAGTGAACTTGAAAAACCTGCTATACAGTATGTCCCCGAATTGTTACAAGAGGAAAAACTTTCTTATTATTGTTATTTTAGGAAAATTAAATTCTTTGTAAAAAAGTTTGCTTCTCCTAAAATGGTTAATCCTGTTTAAGCTTTTGCAAATTTCCATACCGTTTGAGAGGAAACTAAAAAAAACATGAAAATATGGTTGATTTTTTTCCTAAAAGTCCTAAAAATCAGAAGGCGTTTCTATGGTAATATAAATTCGATTTCATTCTTAGATAGGTAGATGGTTATTATTCATTTTGATTAACGTCATAATATTTCCGTTGTTAAAGTATCACGTTTACCGATATATATTAATTATCACCCTTTCCGTAGCATTAAACTAAATAAATTTTATGCTTTAACAATTTAAAACAGCAAGAAAAATGACGTTAATTAAAACTATATCAATAACAATCTATCAAAGAAGGAAAACGCAATTATATTACCATAGAAACGCGTTTTCAGTTTTAGGACTTCGAAAAAATTCAGCTATATTTTCATGTTTTTCGTAATTTTCTCTAGAACGGTATGGAAATTACGAAACATATAAACGGGATTCACCATTTTAGAAAAAGCAAAAAGTTTTAATAAAGAATGCATTTTTCTCAAAATGTCAATAATAAAAGAAGCTTCTTCCTCTTGTAAGACAAGCCGGGGACATACTCTATATGATTTAATTTCCTCCTATTATAATATTCTATTAAAAATTAAAAGGAGAAAATAATACAGACCACCAGGTGCGCCGCCATTACTCCAAAACCGCGTGAGTTTCGATTTCAACTTGGGACTCTGGGGGTAGTGGCCCCCTTGGGCATTGCCGTCGTGCTGATCCTCTGAGTCTAACTTGCCGCGCAGGTATTCAGAAGGACCAGGACTGCGCTGGTCGGCCACTCCTAACACCGCCGGACGGTAGTCCTGCAGCATTGCGAAGAACTCATTTTTACCTGAAACAATAAACTACTGTTTACAAAAATGTCTCTGTACTTATCATAATATATTGGTAAAATGGCAAAATTTATTATGATACTCTTTAAACGAAAAATAAAAGAGGATTTTCTAATACAAATTTTCTAGATACAAATATGTAATATGTTTATTTAATAGTTATTTTCTATACAAGACGATAAAATGGTATTTTATCGTCGACCGAAAATGAATTCGTGAATTAATTTCGGGTGACGATAATGCAATTTTATCGTCGTGTATAAAACAATATTTTTTTTCCATAGCGAGTTACGTTTTAAAAAATATTTAGAAATTGTTATTTCAAGGAATTTATTACGAGTAGAAAAAATATTGTGCTGGGTTGGCGTTGGTTTCTATGTAATTTAACAAATAAATAAAGCTGTCTCTTTAGTTGTCAGTTTTGAGTCAATATTTTTTTAATTCTTTTTCGTGTCGATTGCTGATTGAATTGGAGCCAGAAATGGCTCAAAACGAAATAAGTAAATTACCAACAGATATTGAGGCTGAGGCGACAAACGCCATATCCAAACTACTTCCATTTAAATCCCGAATAACTTATGAAAAGGAAAACAAAAATTTTCAAAAATGGAAGCAACTAAAAAACGTGCAAGAAGAAATAAGGTTTTTAACCTATCCTCGCTGTTAAAGTATCAGTTAATCTCCCTTGCGGTTAAAGTACTATTTTATCTACTATTTTTGATAGATATAAGGCAATTTTAACAGTTTAACTATGGAAAAAAATAAATTAATTAAATTAAATTATAATTAATTTCTAAATGATTTTGATTTAAATGTTTATTCAGAAAAAAAATCATTCATTAAAAAATTTTTAAATCTATTAAAAAATTGAAAGCTTTCTATAAAAGACTTAAGTCAGATTTTTATATATTTTTATGATAATTTTTTAACAGCGGCATTACTTTTTAAACTGCTAAACGGCAGCCAGGTAATAGATAAAAAACTACAATAAAAATTAATACCGCTAGCAAATAAGAAATTAGTTTTTCGAAACAGGTTTTGATTATTTATCGTGTTACGCGTGCGTAGTGAGTCTCTTATCTGTCGAGTGAATCCCCAACTCCGTTATGTAGCCCGAAAGTCGAACAAAAGAAATGGTTGATTTCGAATATATTGAAAACTACCTTACTTTTTTTTCAACGTATGGTACTACATTATTAACTAAAATAAAATAAGCACTAAAATTCCAAACTCGTAACTATGGAATTTAATTTCTACCCTATGGCATCTGTTTTAACTGAACGGATATCGAAACAGTATATGCAGTGAATAGCAATTAGCCAAACACAGCCATAAAACCTTTATTTACTTCTGTATCGTTTGGTTTGGTTTGAAAAAAAAAACACCCACATATTATTTACAGAGTTACATTACACAATGTCTCTATTAAAAGCACTTGCAACGCTATGATTTTAAAGTTGTCAGCAGTATACATGAATACAACAAATATGAATGTCAATTAAAATTAATTATTCATTGTAATCCTGTAAAAAAGTGTTATTTTTTTAATTAATAATAAATAACATATAATAATAATAATAGCTCCCGTATACATGTAGCGTTTAACGCCTTGGGAGTAGCAAGGTACAGCTTGCTATACTAGATCCGTTCGGTATACAAGGAAGGTAATGTGGCTAGCACTACGCTTCAACCGCCTATTATTACCTCAGGATTGTGAATCTGAAGTACTCATTTAAAGCTGAGTCGACCTAGGTACCCAAACTATTTTTATTTTAATAAAAATAGTCGGCTGATGAAATGCCGGGTGTAGGATTAGCACCCACAACCTTGAGATTGGTAGACGAGAGCCTGTACCTCGACGCCACCGGGCACCACTTATGCAGCAATAACATTTTAATTAAAAAAATGCAGTTTCATTATTCACTATAATCCTGAAAAAAAAGGACATTTTTTGTCCCACTGTTAACACGCCACAACTGACATTTTTGATGATTTGGGTAAAAAAAGTTAGGCATCAACAAAAATGTCATGATCATTTTCAGCTTATTCAGCCATTTCCAATTATGGTGTAGGCTCCCTCATATATTTAGATACTCTCTTTGTAGTTGGGCCCATATTCTTGTCTATTGCTGGCCCAAGTTATCCCTGCTAATTTCCTAATATCATGTAGTTCAGTCATTGGGGATTTTCGTTTGGAAAAAAGTCCGGAAGTTTTGCAACTTTGCAGGTTTATAGGTTTTGGGGTCCCTAACTAAAATCCATAAAATGCACATTTCCAGACGACCATGGCGCCCAAAATCGGTATTTTGTGAATATCTCGAAAACTAGGCGTTTTTCGCGAAAATTTGAGGAGAGAAAAATTAAAGAAAATAAAATTTCCTATAAAAAAGGTTTTATGAAAATTTTCGCGAAAGTCTAACTGTTTAGGCACAAAATCCCTGGAAATTTTACAATTTTGCGTAAAATATGATATATTATGCATAGTCGATTTTCCGAAATCAAATGTCGATTAGGGTTCACTAAAACTAGTTTTAGTTTAGTTTCTTCAATTTTGTCATAAAACAGTGGCGTATCATTAATTCGCTCATTAATTTATGAATAATTAATTTTAATTACCGAAAATGTGTACTTGTTTCCACACCACCCAAGAGGCAATGTATATGGCGCGTTTATTTTAACGTGGTCTACCCGGAGGCCTACTCCACTAGATAAATTAAAAACTTTTACTTATCTGCACAAGCCGGTCGGATCTGGCTCATTGATGTCAAAGTCGATCGTGTCTGCTGTGCTGGGCTCATCAGGGTGCTCTCTCAATACGTCCAACTCTTCATCTTCAGCCGCCAGAGGGATATCTACAGGCAAGTCCACCTCCTCTTCATCGGATTCATCGAGTGACACTTCAGTGACGTTGTCACAGGATTTCCCATTGCAGTATGCACAAATCATTGAACATTTTAATCCCGCTTTTCTGCATCCGCAGGCTTTACCATAGTTGTTGGTTTTGCATTTACAGGATAAAAATGCCAACAGGGATTTTGGAGCTGGATCTTTCAATGTTGTGACTGGAGTAATGCCTGTTTTTGTTTTCTCCCAACCCCATTTTTCGGCATCTTTGGTACAACGCAACCAGACCAATGCTGAACCTGGTGGTAAGTTCGCAATGAATGCTGTCCAGCACGACAATTAATTATTCATAAATTAATGAGCGAATTAATGATACGCCACTGTTTCATGACAAAATTGAAGACACTAAACTAAAACTAGTTTTAGTGAACCCTAATCGACATTTGATTTCGGAAAATCGACTATACATAATATATCATATTTTACGCAAAATTGTAAAATTTCCAGGGATTTTGTGCCTAAACGGTTGGCTTTAGGAAAAATATTCATAAAACCTTTTTTATAGGAAATTTTATTCTGTTTAATTTTGCTCTCCTCAAATTTTCGCGAAAAACGCAGTTTTCGAGATATTCACAAAATACCAATTTTGGGCGCCATCTTTGCAAGATGGTGGCGCCGGCGGCAAGTCTGAAAATGTGCATTTTATGGATTTTAGTTAGGGATCCCAAAACCTATAAACATGCAAAGTTTCAAAACTTCCGGACTTTTTTCCAAGCAGGCTCCTTTTTTGATCCCCAATGACTGAACTAATGGTCCCATCTCAGGTTCGGTCTTCTAGGTAATTCCTCGTGGGTACCAGGCTGTAATTTTGTGGTCCATCTGTTGTCCGTTCTTCTTGCCAGGTGTCCCGCCCATTGCCATTTCATGGATTTGACTCTGTGGATGACATCTATTATCTGGGTCTTTTGTCGTATCCACTCTATTCTTTTACGGTCTCTCTGGGTTATTCCTAGCATATTTCGTTCTATTGAACGTTGTGGGACCTGCAGTTTCCAGACACAAATCAATTTTCAGAAAATAATTGTTACCGAACAGATTTTTTCTAAATATATTGGCTTTGAATGATTGCCATGTTATTATAATAAAAAATGTCTATACCTATGTGGCGCATCAAAAAATCACAAAATACACTTAGATCACATATATGTGATCTTATCACATACTAAACCAATGAATACAGAACAACAAACAAAAAATGTAATATACCAAATACCATGTGAATGCGATAAATTTTACATTGGTGAAACATCGAGACCCTTAAATGTTCGAATTAAAAAACATAAAGATTATTATTTAAGAAAGGGAGATTTGTCAGCATTCATGGGACACAAGGCACAGAATAAATTTTAATAACGCCAAAATTATAATGAAAGAAGCGATAACCACTAAAGGAAAAATAAAACAGGCTTTTTTAATAAAAGTAAATGTATTGCTCATGCATCTGTAGATGTTAGTAATGTATGGCAATCCCTTTTTTGATGTTAAAGAACATAACATAAATAAACATAACATACGTAAAAATTAAAAATAATCATACAGAAAGTTTGACCTTTTTGGTTTTACCTTATTAAGTAATTGTTATCAGGTAGTATTAATTGTTTAATTAAAAAAAATTAAATTAATTAATAATTAAAATTAAATTTGTTTATTAATTGTTTTGGTTTGGTTTTTTTGAAGTTTAACTTGATATAATGTCATTTTAACAGAACGTCAACGATTTTTGTAGACGTATCTGTTTTAAAAAACTAAAGTGTTCTCGAATAGTTGAATTTAAATATCTTAAATAGTTTTTCCTTTATTCTTTGTATTTTTTTTTGCTTCCGACGACGGAAAGACATAAACTTTCCGAAACGTTAAGCATTTTTTTTGTTCGTTACGCAAATTTGTATGTCTTTAAACCTAACTTCTGACAAGTAGTTTCCGTTTGGGATTAACGCCAGAAGTGTTTACATAAAATAACTATTTTATATTGTAGATTTTCTTGCAGTGGCGAAAAATATAGGATATTTTGGAGTTATTATAATACTTTTTACTTTTTTCCAATTAAATCATGACAAGTTTTTATGTCAATTTTAAATATAAAATAGGGATCGAA